AACTACTTGCTGTATGACCTTCATTCCTGCAATAATCTAGAATAGGGAATCAAAACAACTGAAAATTCAGTAAACGAATTGGGCAAGGTAAGTGTATTTAAAATTCGTTGTGCTTTAAATGTTTTGTGTTCCTTGGCTTGTTTGCTGTTGTTGCAGCTGTTGTTGTGGTCGTTGTTGTTGTTATTATTGCAATTCGTGTCTCTGGCATCGCAGACAAAATTGAAAACGTTTGTAAATACTTTGAAAGCATTTGCAGCAATTGAACAAATACAAAATAGTTTTTTGCCGACGCTCTTTGGGGAATTGTGAAAAATAAAATAATATATATGCATGTACTCACACACACACACACACACACACATATATACAGACAGTGTGAGTTGTTTCTGTTTTCTATTTCTATTTATTTTTATTATTTGCCAGCTTTTCCTTTCGGCCTTTCCTCCAGTTGGCCATTGCAATTGCGGCGCTGCGACTGACCTATAAATAAAGTTGGCAGCCAACAGCACAACTACGGCCCAAAATGGCATCAGCGAAAATTGTGCAATAAAAGCGCATAACCTGCAAATAATATCTAACAGCTACAACAACATTTATAGAAAACACGCTCTCAATTTCCTAGCCAATTGGCCATTTCTTTTACTGGCCAAGCGCAACTGATTGACTTTTGAACTTAACCAATTTTTGAGGCGGCTCAAATTGGTTGGGCTTGCAATTTTTTAGTATTTTTGTTTCACATTCATGTTGAGTAGAAGGCTGGGAACCTGAGATACATCTCTGATCTAGGCTAAAATCTAAGATATATAAAAACGTTTTTTATATAATATTTAAGCTTTCCAATTAAGCTATTTTCTTAAATTTGCAGACTTTCAAAGAATCAAACTCAACCAACAAGTTATTTTTAAATTCTTTTTAATTAATCTTTGATCAGTTTTACTTTTAATTGTGTCAAGCCTGCATGCAGATATTTCATGTTAATAGCATTCGTTTGGCTTGAAATGTAATATTTACAATTTTTTCAAAAAATAATTGTGGTGTTAAGCCAAACACTTAAAAGCTCTGCCAACTATTTGCTGTGATGCATTTGAAGACTTTTACCTTTAGCCCGTGCAGCTGCAGCCAGTGTCGAATTTCTGCTGCAAAGCCAAGAGCACAGGAATTGATGATGGTCTCTTAGTTTGTGAAACTTGCCTCGCTTCCAGCTACCCGCCTTTCCAACAAGTATCAAACGCTGCTCGTAAACTGAAGCCGGGGCTAGCAAAAAAAAAAACTCTTTCCTAAAAGAAAACAGCCAGAACTCAACAAGCTCTCCTACATACACGCACACAGAGACAGTTTGTAACTGTAGCTCAACTACATGGCCAATACCAGAGTCTCTGCTGAGGATGTTTGCCTCAAGCATGCTTAGCAGAGAGCGAGCGAGCATTATGCTTATATCATAAAACAAAGAATTTCGGTTATTTTTGCAGAGCTTCTTCTCTTGCCGCAGGCCAGGCATTGGGTTGCTCTGGCGCACTTAATGGCAAAAGCTTTTATCAGCTCCGATTACACAATTTAAAGCAACAAAACTGTCACTTTAAATGCAATACAAAATGCCACGCCCCACCCTTACACACGCCCACCCCCCTCCCCCCGCAACTAACGCCCGTTTTGATGGGTTTCATAGCATAGCACCTGGAGCTGTAGACCCATTGAAGAGTCCTGCGGTTGCCGCACCGCAACATTGTTGCCGAAAACCAACGTAACCCAAGCCAAGACAGGCACACAGCTGGCAACACCCACCCGCCCATACACCCGTACCCCGTTTGTTGGCCAAGCGTAACTCAGCTTAAATAAATTTAATTTAATTACCAGTAAAAACCGCATGAGTGACTCTAGCTAGATGAGTGAGCCGTGCAAGGACGTGCCAGCTATCTCACACAGTTTGCTACACTACACTACCTACGCCGCCCCCGCACTGCCCGCTCCAGCTGCACAGGCATTAGAGAGTCTTACCTTTGCATAGTGTGCGTGTTTGTGTTTGTGTAAGTGTATGTGTTTATTTAGGAAATAACATTTTTGTGGCAACACATTTTTGGATTTTATTACAGAGTGCGGCGGCGGCACGTTGAGTGCGCAATCCCCGCTACTCCCCGCCGCCAGCTCACGCTCCGCTTGAGGTCAACATGCATTTTATCACTGCAAACAACAACCTGACTCAGCACACTCTGACGATAAATAACCTTAATGTAGTGGCCGCTGCTGTAGCTGCCGTTACCTTTCGTTTTAATTACAGGCAGCGACTGAAATTTCAAATTTCAAAGCATACTTTTAGGCGCCGCTGAAAAAAGTGCTCGAGAAAGTGTTGCCGCAGCAAACGGGCCACTGGCTGCCATTGCACACTCACACCCACTCATCATACTCACACTACACCTACTCACCACACTGGCACTGTACTCACCACACTCGCCTAGCTGGGTTTCGGGGCCTGCCTGGCGCACAAGGTCAAGTAACTCGAAAACTGCTGCTGCACTTGACGCTCAGCGTCACGATTATTATGCAAATTGGCCCCGCAGTGTTTGCACACGTGGGCAAATACTTGAGAAGCGGCTTAGCGGAGAGCTACAGTCACTCGAGACGCACTCATCCATATAGTTCGGCTGCGGCGGGGGCGACGAGAACTTGCAGTGGCCACAAAAAGTAAGAGTTACCGAGTGATCAATATATAACAAACTGCTTTTCTGCCAGGACGCCCTGCAATTCCGTTCTAATCGATCCCAATGCGATACTCCTCTATTTCATTCATATTCAATTCGTTTTTAATAAACTATTTCATTCGAAAATCGGAAAGCGGATATTCAAAAACAATATTTTTTAAAAACTTAAAAATGCCATACTCAGGTAGTATATAGAATCAATAGAATAAGGTCTTAGAATAGAATAGGAGGGTCATAGAATAGACTGGCATTAAAGTTAAATGGTAATATCATAAAGAATGCGGGTTTTTTGATGGCAGCCGATATTTGTGGTTCGTACCAGTTGGAAGGCGCATTTTTTTTTATTCGGACGGTATGTATTCAAGATAATCGAATTAAAAATTTGTTAAAAGCTTTAAAAATCCATAAATCGAGTAAATAAAGTCCGATTTTTGGAAATAGTGAGCATTTAGCTATCACGGAATCCCATAAAATCAATTTGACTCAATTCCGATATTCGAGATCCGTTCGATTTGAAATAGGATATCATTCCGAAATCGGGCTATGTTTACCCGAGATATTTCCCGATCCCGGGAAGATTGGGCGCGTCGAATTTGTGGAGGCAACCGATAGTCGGGATTCGTTCGAGTTGAATGAGGTATATGCTGCCGAAATCGCACTGTGCCTACTCTACTTGCCTGCTTGTGAAGCTTGTGAAAACTCCACTAAAGTCTACATACAAATTAAATGTATAAGTTCTGACACGAAATATAGTAAAAACACAGGATACTGAATCTCGTATCAAATCGTTTTCATCAAAACGAGACAAGTTACTGATTGATTTCAATTTTAATCAACTTTGAAGCATTGCAACTATTTTATGAAATTGTTCTAAAAATCGATCAATTTAAATTAACTTAATAAAAATTATTTCGTATACTTTTGCAAATTATTTTGTAAAACAAGAAATGAGTTCTTTTAAAATAAAAGTTGATCAGTGCTGCCGTCTTAAATCTGTTGGTGCCGCCAGTTCCAGATTTACTCATAATGGCTCTTTTGGGCATTCCACAAACTCACAGAGCCCCATTGGCAGCACCCCGCTCACCCGCTCAATAACCATATGCACAACTCTCTTCACCTTTCTTCCGGCCCGCACTTGCCGTGGACCTTGTCCGTTGCCTGGTAACCTAGTTTAATAAATAATTCGCTATTTTTGCTTTTTGCCTCTCTTTTACATTATTTTTTGTTGTTGCCTCTCTCTTTTTGTCTTCGGCAAGTCATTCATGTGTGCAATCTGTGGGTGTGACTAATTCAATTACAACGCCCAATTGTGCATGCCTCGGCGCTTGCACGTCGTCTAACATGCACCTCCCTGCCCACCCCGCGCAGCACACTCTCTAATACACTCTGTGTGTGGACCGTGATTTTTCATTTTCATTTCACGCTTTCTCTCTCTTTTTTGACTACACCTCCAACCCCCCCTCATAGTGAGCTGATAGGAGTTTAGGAATATGTGTGAATTTCATTAGGTCTGCTTTTTTGGGCTCCTGAATTTCGCATATCGCGCTTTCGATTCACAGTTGCGCGCGTTTCGTGACGCGTTTCTCATTTAATTGTTTTTTGTCACACGAGTTATCCTTTTTTAGGGCGTGTCGTGTTCAAAATTGAAATTAACTTACAGTCGCCCTCTCATCTATAAATGCAGTTGGTTCAGTGTGTCATTCCCTGGAATTGGATGGGTAATCAACGTGATTTGCAGCCAAGCGAGCGCAAAGGAGGCGTGAGAGCTACCGCCAAAACGTGTGAATATGGGTGGGTGCTGAATCGGGAATGGGGTGTTTATGATCAGATGAGGTTATCCAAGGTCGGCATTTACTAACAGTAATTATAGTCGGTTCCATGGAAATGAGGTGTATAATGGGAATTGGTAGATATAATAAGGACATGAATTTGGGAGAGTAAGAATGAAGAGATGATATTTTCAGAAGGAACTATGGCAACTAATTATTACCAATAATGATATTATTTACAGATATATGGATAATTGCAAATAAATATAGATATATATAATAGAGTGTTACAATTAAAGTGAATATGGTAGCAAGATATATGATATATGCGAATGTAGTATAAACTGTTAATGGATTAAAAGAGCAGAGAATAGAATAAAATAAAAGCTCTGCCAATCCAATACAAATTGTCGGTAGTTCCGCTCATGGCTCGAGAACATGTCACGCCTTTGGGCAGAAATTTATCATTTCAAAGAAAGCATTTACTTTTAAATTATTTAAAAACGCATTAAATGAGAGTTAACGACAGAAAATATATTTTATGCAACGAAAAGTTTTTTTTAAAGAAAATTGAAAGTCTGACAGCTTAGAAAATTCTCCCAACTTGCCCGAATAAAAGACCTCGCATTATCAGCCAGCATTTATATTATTCAGTAGCTTTTTGATATCATCCTTTTCGGCTGCATCCACATAATTCTGTCCACCCGGCGTGGTTCCATCTTTATTAGCGCCCTGATCTAATAAAAATTCAACGCATTCGGTATGCCCCTCCCAGATGGCTGCCAGTATGGGCGTTATATGATACTTGTCAAGCTTATTAACATCGGCTCCGATCTCCACCAGATACTTAAGCATCTTTAGCTGCCCAAAGTCGGCGGCATAGTGCAATGGTGTTCGACCGCCAATAAATTCGTTAACATTTCGATTCGAGTTCTCGAATGCCATTTGCACGGCATCAATTTCGCCGTTTTTAATGGTCCAAATTATGTTTTCATCATTCTCACACATTTTGCTGGCTTGATTAAATAAATGTTGCTCACTCAATTTGTAGCTTACTGAGATGTGTACAAATAATGAGAGAGAGAAAGGGAGGGAGTGCTTGCATGTGGTTCGATTCTGTGCTACATCTTATAACTTCTGCCCTTCTTCCTGGAATGCATCACTTAACTATTACAACCGCCTAGCAACGCTTTGTGCTTCTTTCGAGTGTTCGAAACGTTTCTCACAGCCGCCGCCGCCACTTCCTGCAGCCCCAGACATGGGCATAGCTGGCGGTGCTATCAACACTCAAGCATCTTGATGATCTGGCGTATACATTGCGAAACGTGATTTGTAAGGTCATCATTCAAAAGGCATCGAGTGTGCGACAGTCGGACCGACAGACAAATCCCATGCCCAAATCCAAAAAAGGCTCAAGAAACGGCAGCCAACAAAAATTAAAATGGTTATACATTCATGTAATTTAACGAACTGGCAACAAAACTAAACTAAACTAAAACGAATCTTGACTTCAGTCTAAAAGATGCGGCAATGCTTGCTGCTGTGCTTGTTGCTGCCTTGGAGGTTGCTGTTGCTGCTGCTACAGTTGTCTGTGGCGATATTGGCGATGCCAAGCGTGAGATTATCGACGATTGTATGCAGCGATGATGATGCTGATGAGGATCAGGATGAGGCACAGACCTGCAGCAGCAGCAGCAGCAACTGCATGGGCAAAGGCAATGGCCATGTCGATGGCTCCCGAAAGCGGCCAAAACAATGCAACGCGCAGCTGCGGCAACTGCAACTCAAGTTCACTTTTCATGCAGCGGTGGTGCGGGCTGTGGCAGAGCTGGAAGCTGAGCTGCAGCTCCAGTCATTGACTTCGGTTATCGCACGCCAAAAAGACAAAACAGTTGCATGCCCTGCGCTCAGACAGAGCCGACAGACAGGCAGGTTGGCAGGCCCCAGTCAGGCAGGCAGCGCTATCTGCATGCGATCAAATTTCCAGGGCTTCTGTTGTGGACAGCTACACTCGGAGAAAACCCTCTGCTAACTACTATTACTGGGATAGATTTTATACTGTTTTGTTTGTGACATTTTTAACTGAATGAATAAATAAGGTTTGTTTAACATTAGTTTATTTGGTCTTCTGAGAAATTGCATTGCTTAAGTAAGCTTCAATGTTTTCTCTTATTAAGTATAAACCATCTTTACAAATCAAGTCTAATTTATTATATAATTGGTCGGTGATGATATTCGAAAATTGTGTATTCTAATTAGGCTTTTAGCACCTAATTTTTATAATTTAATATATTGAATAATTAGGAAGACTAGTTTTAGTTGACTATTTAATAATAAAATGATTTGCAGACCTTTTAAAGGTTAGTGCAAATTTTCCCTTGAAATAAGAGCTCTTGTTCTTAAATTGAGACATGCATATCTGAGATTTAATACTCTATTTATGTATTAAAAGAAAACCTCTTCAAACCGAATTTTTTTTTGTGAAGACATTGCGACCTTGTCTGCACGAAATTCACAGTTTTTTCTCTGAGTGTATGGCTTTGAGCACTACGCTTGTGGTACTGTGTATAGGGCACCGGCGATCATATTGAGCGTCTGCTTTTGACATTTTGGACACAATTTGAACCTTTTACTTTTTGTTTTCCTTTTTTTCTTATTCAAGTCTTGTTTTTGGGGCCAGAGTGTAAGCCACGATTTCCAGCTTAAGCGCAGTTCCAGGAATCAACAAACTCGAAGTAGCCTCATCTTCGACTCCCCCTCAGTGGATATCTCTTTGTGTGTGTCTCTCTTGCAAGCCTTTGTCGCTGCTGACATTGATTGAGAAATTGATTTAAGAAGCGTTTTAGCTGATTTTGATCTGTTAAAGCGCGCAACTGGCTGTCAGTTAAGCCCCTTCCCGCCGCGGCTTTTATGCAGCGTCTTTAACAGTTTTGATTTATAAACTTTTTGATATAATTGCTACAACTGCAAAATGGGATTTATTTTACCATTTTACGCGCTCAACTCGTAACTGACTGGCAACTAAATCAATTTAAATCACATGCATATCCGGTGCTGCTCAGCCACTCCCCCTCCACACACCACCACAAATGTTGCCACAAGGTCGTTTCCATGTCCAATTTAATGGAAAATGTAATTCACAAAATTTTATGAAGTTTTGCAGAACTACAAAAACTCCAAATGCAAAAACGCATCATTCACTTTGTTGTTGTCGTTGTTTTTGTTTCTGGCCAACTGTTAACTTAGTTTTGGCAAATATTGTTGCACACAAATGCTAATGACAGATGCCAGTACAGTTATAGTTGTGGCATAGCATAACAGTTACCAACTTTTGATAGCCCTGTCAGAGGTAAAGTGTTTTGATGCCGCCAAAGTTGGCTTTCCTTGACCTTCATTCGGGCTTCGGTAGGTGGGAAGGGAATACATATGTTTGCCAATTGTGTTAAGTGAATGATGAAAGCGTAATGCAAAAATTTGGGAAGTGAATTAAGAAGTAAAGATGGGATTGATAATAAGGTAAGTGACATAAATAATTATGTAAGCGCTAAAGCGTTATTTTAGACAAAGTCTACTTTTAGTTGATGCTTATGACCTAGAATTGTATATCATATTTATAACATGAGCAAAAGAAATAAAACTGTGTGGCCGAAATCATATTATTTCAAAAGTTTAAAGCCCAAAATTGATTGCTTAATATTCACAAAATTAAAAAAAATGTAAGGCTAAAATTATCTTAATCTTGTTGGTTCAACACTCAGACATTTACCCAATAAGACGTCACGTTCGCAAAGCACAATAAGATAGCTGCTGTTCTTTTAGATAGTCTGTCATGATACTTTAGCAATTGGTGCTACTGGACTTGAACTAGAGGCTTCCAACTCGCTGATTCGACTGGCAGATTAGAAAGCCACGCACTCTCATGACGTTGCAGGTCGAATTTAACAATACCCTGTCAGCAAGTACACACAAACTCTTTACAATGCGCGTTGATCAAGTCAGGACAAACACTTTTATCTAGCCACATAGCTTATTCATATTAAATATAAATATTTCATTACTTATTTGACAATTTTATATTCCAAATTTTCACTTGTATTTCCTTAATAAGATTCTAAAAAATCTTTCTGACGGATTTTGAGAATTTCAGCTTTAAATATGCTAACTAACTCAAATTAAATACGTATTTGTCGAAAACAGGCCTAGAGATAAGCAAGAGATAACCAAAGCAAAGTAAAATATTTTGTTTTGCTCATTAGGGAATATATTGTAGAGAAAAATTGAGAGAGAGGGAGAGGGAGGGAGCCAAGAGCAAGCAGAAACCCAGAAGACCGCAAGTTAACAATCAACACTCGAGAGGCCTTAAATAATTTATAATGTCTTAATTATTTCCTCAACATCAAAATGTGGTCAACAAATTGTTTATGAACTCGACAACTAACATGAAAACACTTCCTCTTCATAAAGAGTAGGGATTGGGCGGGGGTTCTACGAAAATACGGAATGATATGCAGCAGATTAGCAGATGTGATAATTTGTTTGGTACCCATTACCGTTGCGCTCTAGTGCGCTTAATAAGGCGAGCCCAAAAACTCTGGAAAACAAAAGCGAATTAAAAACTAGCCAAGATATACCATATACATATATATGTATAGCATTTGTCGAGTCTGAGGCCAAACTACTAAATTGAAAATTAACATATTTCGGCAGTAGATGCTATCGGGAGCAGCACAGACAGCAACATTGTTTGGCAGCAGCAGCAGCAGAAGCAGCAGCAGCAAGCGGCAGCAGCTCCCAAAGGTTAATTTAATTTTCCATTTTCCGGACGCCGGCAAAAGCAAAAAGGGAAATTTTTCATTTTTTAAATTGATGGCCGCCGGATTCGGAGTCGGGAGTCGGTAGTCGGCAGTCGGGAGTCGTTGTGTCTTTCGTTGGCTTCCTGTTTGGCAATTGTCTTGGCACAAATCTCATGCCCACCGCAAATTGAAACTACAACATGGCATTGTCCTTACCGATTGAATAAGAATTATGCCAAAGGATGCCACACACACAGACACACACACTCACACATATATATATATATCGTCTGCTAAGAAAACTCAGCCTCGAGACACCCAGGGAGCGGTTCCATGTAGCTGGCTGTCAAGCTCTTTTGGAGCATTGTGATTAATGTGCTGCCGTTTGCCGCCTGCTGCTCCTGCCAACTCCTGTTTCTCTTCTTGGCCTGCTGCTGTTGCTGCTGTTGCTGCTGCTGCTACTGTCTCTGCTGCCCGTGTCCCTTTGCTGCTCTCTAGCTCCCTTTGTTGCCATTGTCTATGGCTCTAACCATTTTGGCATGTTTGTCATTTGGGAAATTGTGCGGTAGCTGTTACAGCTAAAGACAAACAGGCGGCAGGTAAGCAGCCACAACAATTCTGTCCTGTCTCTGTAGTCTATTTGAGTTACTTCTTGGCAAAACGTATTCACATTTACTTACAATGCACACACGAATTCGAAACTCGTGTTGCACCTACATGCTTCACTTTTGCCTTTTTCTGTCTGTTTCTGACAATTACTGGAACTTCATTTTCTATGCCCGCCCACACACATCAATATTCTTTATTCTTTTACACAAGTTGATAGTTCAAAATATCGAATACACCAGTCCATTTTAAGACTAGACTACGAACCGCCTTTAAGCCTAGAATTGTCTTTTAAAAATAAGCAAATCGAAACCCTACCCGAAATATACACAACTTAATTATGTAAATAAATAATAATAATACACACATTTTTAGTAGAACAGGCAATGTTAAATTAAAAATAAAATTTTGAATATATTATTTGGCCTGCACCAAATCCTGAGATTATGTTTTGAAAAATCAACTCAGAACATTAACCGTAAATCTAGCCAATGTATATATTTTTTTGGGTTTGGAGCCTTCTCCTTTAAAACTACATAATTCCAAGCTAGGCAGGGGACTTATTTTAAAAATTAAGCCCAAACAACACATACAAAAGAAAGATGGTTGGGCTTGAACAAATTGAAAGGAATTCATATTCTGTCATAAGGAATGAGGTCAATTATAATTCCCTGCTTG